TATGGTCAATTATGAAAACAGTGAAGCTGAAGAATAGGTTGACTAAGATGCATCTTCATGATAGAGGTGGAGCCCCAGTCCCAAGCGTGCACAAGCTCTCCTAAAAGCCATTGCTTCAGCTTTTTGTACAGGATCTCCATAACTTGTGTCGTCTAGTGAAGCAGTACCAGTTGATTCCCTAAATATCTAGACAGATAAAAGGGGTTTACTTTAGACAAAATGAACAATAAATAACAAGCAACTGAGTTTATCTGGTCACAGAATGACCATTAGCCACAATATGTCCAAAAACAGATACCAGAGACTAGAAAAAGAACAAAAAGTTTAAAACTTAAAATCAACAATGATGGACAAAGTTTGAAAAATAAAGGTTGGAGGGCCCTGTTTCTCAGCCAAACATAATGTTAATGTGTGTCCATGACTCAATACATCTGCATTGAGCTGCACAATTTCATGCCATGTTCAAATCAATGTAAAACCTCCAGTTTAAACAGTAGTGGTGTAAATGAAGTCACAGAGAAGAAGTGTGTTAATTAAACAGACCTTAAAATTTAAATTTAGCTCTTGAGTAATAAAACATGTTCTACAGTTCTCTCTTGTGTCAGTTTCAGGTGCAAAAAAAAAGAGAAACAAACCCAACTAGGAACTAAAAAAAAAATCTAATCCAATGATACAATTTGCATTACTAAACCAATTCAGTTATCAGAAAAACTTGGCATATTCCAAATCCAATAACCAATACCAAATTTCATCAACAGGCTACAGAGATAAGGCCGTCTGCTGCAAGACAGCAAAGACCCTTCAAATTCTGGTGGGAAAAATTGGTGTTATGCACTGCTGGGCAACACATGACATCAGATATAGGTGGAACCTCTGTTACCGGCACTGCCCTATGGTGGCCCTTTCATCTAAGTGCTCTGTATCATTGGACCCACTATTGATGCTCAATTGTCCATAAGACTTTGGACATTCCACTCTGGGGAAAATCAGTTTTCAAAGATGTTCTTATTGTAATTAACTGAATCTCTTCTTGATAAATTGTTGATAAACAGGTTTACAAAATCCAAACCTGAAAACTAGCTCAACTGGTTCATGAGAACATGACTGGTTAAATTTGGTCGAACAAAGCTAAATTTGTAGAATGGTTCAGTTGGGTTTTCAAATCAGAATGAAAATGTGAGCCGACATACTTTAGCTTCAGAGACAAAATGTAATGTGTTTGGATTAGAGGAAAGAAACAAAAGAAATGGAAATAGGGAAGAAATAAGTTGAGGAAAAATAAATAAGTAACAAAAAAAACCATTTTAAGTTTAGTTAGTGGTTTAAAAGAGTAGAAATAGGTGAGAAAATATTTATATAAAGTTGAGTAATTTGAGAAAAAACAAAAATTTCCCTCTAGGGAACACACAGAAATCAATTCACTCCCCCTTCAAATTTCTCCTTCTACACTGCCCAAAACACCATAAGGGGTTTGTTTGGTTGCTTTTAGTCATTGAAGTGTCTGTAAAAGAAATGCAGAGTATTGAATAATGAATTTCTTTGTGCAGTGTGAAGTGGTAAGTCGGTACCTCAGCATCAGTCCCATAAAGCGTAACTCGGTAAACGACGGAGACAGACTTTGCATCAGCTGAATAGGTGATATTCCGAACCTCACCAGACCACTCTAGCATTGGATATTGCATTAGGAAAATATCAAATTATTGAACCGCATAAAAGAAAGGGAAAAGGTTATAATATATAATACCAGGAACGTGTAAGTTCAAAATACGGTTGACAGTATGCCTGAAAAAAAAATGCAACAAAATGAATAAAGATGGGGATGAAGCGAAGAAAATAGAGATTTAGGTTAGGGTTCAGGAATAAAAGAAACCAGGGAATGTATCTGATAGGGAATCCATCTTTCTCATAGCGGGTTTTGACGAGAGAGTCAGGGACTTTCTTGTTGAGCTCTTTGAGTATTTCAGAGAGAGGTCTAGAGATTCCAGAACTCGGAGCTTCTTCTTCTTCTTCCATTTTTCCACTCTCTGATGCTGCTCTGTAGCTCAGCTTCGAACAGTGCTGATTCCATTGCCCAAACCTAAATGTTCTTCCTCTTCTGCTCAATTTTTCCAATTTCAGAATTGCGGATGCCATTTTCAAAACCTCTCACCACTCTTCAATCACTTATTGCACCCGAAAACATTTTCTGTAACTTTTTAACTCCTCCATTCACCAGTCACACTGTAATTTACTTTTTGGAATTAGCTATTTTGGTGTGAACTTGTTTTGGACTCCTACATTTGTTTTATTTTATATTTGTATTACAAAATTAATGTAATTGTTATTTTTAAAAACTAAAATTTTTAAATAATTATATTTAAGTGTTATATACAATTAAAAAATATAATATTTATATAAAAGTTTGATTATAGAAAAAAATTATATAATTAATTAGGGGTATGAACAAGTTAATTAAAAATAAATAATTTTATTTTAATATTAATTTTTATGTTAAAATAGTGAACTATAAAAGGAATAAATAATAATATCAATATCAATAATAGATTATATAAATAACAATTGAAAGATCGGTACAAAATAAGAAAACAAAATTATATATATAGTTAAAAATATAATATTTAAATAAAGAGTTTGATTATTGGAAAAAAATTATATAATTAATTACGGATATTTTTTTATGAACAAGTTAATTAAAAATAAATAATATTATTTTAATACTAATTTTTATATTAAAATAATGAAATATAAAAAGAACAAATAATAATGTCAATATCATAAATAGATTATATAAATAATAATGGAAATATTATAGTACAAAATTATATATATATATATATATATATATATATATATATATATTTATTACTAATAATAATGTACTACTACTATTATTAATACTACTATTATTAATACTAATGTTAATTCAAATAATTGTTAACAATATTACTAGTACTAATTCTAATAATAATATTCATATTATTATTGAAACAAATAATACTGATACTAGTAATAATAATATTAATAATAATAATAATATTATTATTATTATTATTATTATTAATAGTAATAATAATTATTATTATTATAATATCAATAATAAGAATAGATATACTACTATTAATAATAACAATAATAATAATGCTAATGTCACTGTTAGGACTAATGCTAATAATAATATTATTATTACTAATAATAATGATATATTGATAATGATAATAATAATATTCATATTATAACTTCAATTATTAATGTTAATATTAATTTAAACAATATTATTAATACTAATTTTAATATTAAAAAATATAATAATAAAAAAATGATACTTTGACACAGATAAATTTTTTACATTT